CACAAACAGAACTGCCCGGTAAAACCGTAGGCAGAGAGAGAGAAGAGGACAACAAACGAGGGGCTGTGACAAACTGTTTATATATATATCGTCACAAACAGAACTGCCCGGTAAACCGTAGGCAGAGAGAGAGAAGAGCACAACAAACGAGGGGCTGTGACAAACTGTTTCGTCGGAGTTTCACCGACTCATCATATATATATATATAGAGAGAGAGTCTTGCACACCGCAAGTTCCACCCGGAGTCGCAATCATGAGCTCGCGGGAGGGTACATTTTGCAAGTACCTCCAAAGGTACTTGAACCAAAAAAGAAAAGGGAAAAAAAAGGGAAAAAAAGGTACTAGTCAACGTAAGGAATCAGCAGATGCATAGTTTTTCTGTGACGATACTCGAAAGGGAAACAACAACAACAAAAAAAAGAAACATTCACCTCCTGAACGGACCTGAGAACCGAAATGCAATGGTAAAGCACGGAAAGAAAAATGAAAAGAAGAAAGAATCTCCAGCAGCTGCCCTGCTTCGGGAGTCACGATTGTGAGCCCCCTGCTGAGCCATAGGAGGTTACACTTTGTGGGCACCTCCAAAGGCACTCGCGGACGCATTTGATTTCCTGACGATTTTCCGGACCGAAACAATGACAACAACAAAACGTTCCCCTACTAAAGACCAGAAAATATCGATCCATAACTACTGTGGAAGCCCTCCGTGGAACCAGTGGGCAAATTTAAGACCCATGTCTGCTGTGATGGGCCAATGGAGCCGTGGGGGTCACGTGCTGGAGTGGCGCGAATGGTGCGAGTATTGCCGTGTCCGTGTGGTGTTATGTGTGGTGTGAGTGAGTAAGGGCACTACAGCCTTGCAGGTCTGGGACGCCGGATATCATGACTGCTATGGTTCCAGTTCTAACTACCGTGTCCTGGCTGCAGTGGATTAGACCACCAGTACTTCCGAAAGTCGCAGCTCCATGCGCAACGCGGCGTTCAAGTGGAAATGTCGCAGCACCATAGCGATGCCTGGCTGCATGCATGATGCGACTTGCGGAAGTACTGGTTGTTCAAGAGACTCGGCTCTTGGGCTCAGAGGTGCCAGTTCGATTCCATGCATGCACGGATGGTCCTGAGGCAAGAAAGGATGTATCCCATAACCACCAAGCAGCTGCATGCGCAACACGACGTTCAAGTGGAAACGTCGCAGCACCATATCAATGCCTGGCCGCATGCATGACGCAGATTTTCTGGCCGTTTAAGAGACTTGGCTCTTGTGCTAAACGGTGCCAGTTCGATTCCAAACATGCACGGATGGTCCTGAGACAAGAAAGGATGTATCCATAACTACCGAGCACAGAGGCACAATGAAAAAGAGGAAAACCAAAAGAAGCTGCATGTGCTGGCCTGTGACAGCATGGGCCTCAATTTCCCCCAAACGTCAGTAATGGCTCAGTATATTCCACGACTTCGCCCCCTTTCCCATCTGCATGCTACGTGTGACGGCACCGAACGCCTAATGGGAAACTGCGCACAGTTGGCATCAAAAATGTTGCACAGTTGGCGTGAAAAAGGTATCTACTGCCCAGAAACAACCGGAACGAGGTCCCACTAACAGAAATGATTGGATAAAGCGCCTGAATCTGGAGGTGTATTATGCACATAAGCAGAAAAGCAGACCGATACTGACTTTCTTCACCTTTCCACAAGCACGTCCAGATTCAAGGAATAAATCCAAGCCTCTAATTTGCAGGTAGGACCTCACCCCTGGGCACAAACACATACCTCTGCTTTTTTCTTTTTTTTTCTACTTTAACCCCTGCCTGGGGAAAAAAAAAAAACAATGATGGGATCAACGTCGCTCTCTCATTCATAGGCACACCACCCGAAGCAAAAACCGAGAGGTAAGAGAAATGAGAAATTCTACTTCTCGAATCCCCGAAAACTTTCTCGACTTCTCCCCATTTCAGTTCTCGACATCACCATACTTTTTGCTTCCTTTTTCAGAAATTGATTGAAAACCGTGAAAACCGGCGCTGGCAAGAAATCACGTCTAATTGCATCCTATCCTATTGCCGGGTGCCGCCAACCTTTCCCATTGGGTAGGCCAAGGCATGCAGGATGCGCCGCGTTAAGTCGTTGACTGCCACCTAGTCTAGTCTGCACACCAAAATGGGAACACGCTTACACTCGAGGCTCGATAAAGAAAGCCGTGGACTTATCGCCTCCACGAATCATCACAACAACATGGCAGGCCCYCCACAYCCCCCCCCCCCCCCCCCCCCCYSCATTCATGACTKTTGAAGTGGGCCTACATATGACCTAGTCACGACAGCACTTTACCTGCCACTTCTACAAAATTATCGAAGGATATGGCGATGGCAAGATCTAAAAGAGTTCAAGGAGTTCTGCACTTTTCAGTCCCAAAAACTCCTGAAGATCCTGCCGGTGGACAGCTGAAAAGTGCACTTCTTGAAGATCGATCAGCGCCACTTCATCTTTCCTTCCCCCTCTCCCCTCCGTCCTACCTCCTGCTCTCCTCTATCACCACAGTGGTTCCGAGCTACGACGACTGTAGCAAGGCGTCCCCGATCCTATGAAGGGATTTTGTGAGGTGGCTTCACATTCCCCGTTCAGCTGAATTTTTCACATTCCGTTTTCTCGTTTTCTTTTTCAACATTCCGTTTTCTGTTCGATGATTGTACATGTGCTTTGTTGCGTTCCACTTGCTCTGCCTTTGTCTTCTTGATTTTCACTTCCACTGCTATGAGATGGGGAGTGAATGCTACCGTCTTCATCCCGAAAATAACGCCTGGGCGTTGTGTACGAATATAACGCCCCCCGCCGGGCGTTATATTCATTTATAACGCCCGGGCGTTATATTCAGTAAGTTTGTAGTAACTTCGGTGAGGCCCTAAAAAAATTCCGAAAAAAAAAAAATCAAAAAATTTAAAATTATGAAAAAAAACAAGTTGTCCAGGATTGGAATGCGGCCAACTTTTGGCTGAGGGTCACTTCAGAATTCCTCATAAACTCGGAAATACAAAATAAAAACAAAAACTAAAGCCAAAATATACCCCTTGGAAGTCAAAACCCCATTCAACCCTCTTCAAAACCCATGTATACCACCTTCCCCGCCCTTTAAAACCCATGTACACTACCGCTTCAAGGCGCTCTGCCCATGGAACATTCAAATATAATGCCTGGGCGTTCTATTCGAATATAACGCCCAGGCGTTAGATTTGAAGGGGCGTTCTATTCAAAGGGGCGTTCTATTTGAAAAAACTTAAAAAAAAGTGAGTGAAACTGTAAAAACGAAGATCTCATCTTTTTAGGGTAATTTACTAATTTGAATATAACGCCCGGGCGTTGTTTTCGGGTGAAGATGGTAGTTCATGCTCATGCTTTTATCTGGTTAGACTCCGTTAGAGCAATACGCTTTGCAATCTGTTCTTTATCTCATCCATCTTGAATCTCTTTGCAATCTGTTCTTTATCTCATTCGTCATGAATCTCGATCTTTTATTCTGAATCGGATGCATGCCTTTTTCTTGCAAACAGCATCCTGGTTGTATCGACTTCCGAGTTTCACTCGCTTTTCATCATCTTCACTCCCCCGGGTCATAATGAAGGGGAACGTGGCATGGGTTCATTTCAACTATACATGTATAATATTTATAATTTTATAGACATCGTCAAACAAACAAACAAAAAAAAAAAACGGTAATCTGTTTTCCTTAAATTGCATTGCCCCTGGCGATCAGATGCCAAGCGTCTGCTCTGGCGATCCCCACATCTGCGATCCATGTGACGCTACCCTATAGCCCTTTTCTCCCCTTTCTGATCCACACTACACGCCTCCTCCGATCCTCCTCCTCCTCGTCTGATCGACCTAATCACTCTGGTTACTCGATGGCCTGAGACAGATGCTGATCCCGCCCCGGCCATTTGCTTTTGCCACTGCCTTCGTTTTGCAAGTGCGAGCGTATACAAAATAAAATGCCCCAATTCATTCAGTGCTTGCGCACTTTGCCGAAACTGAGTAGAAATGCCACCGTGCGGAGCACGGCATAGCACTGGACGAGGCTAAAGAAGTCACAGAATCGCGTAACTCGGCAACCGGAAGATCGGCTCACTTAAGACCCCCCTGGTCGCGAAGTAGAGTAAAGTAGAGTTCCTTTTAAAAGAGAACTACTATCTGTAGCCCCCAAACCATGACCGTAAATCACATTACGCCAGCTGTATCTACAATATCAACTCGCTGCAAATCATACGATCACGTCGATCAGAGGATAGGCATTGGGAAGATGGAAAACCGACTCCAGCTACACAAAAATAGAAGGCTTCCAGGGATGCAGCCAAGCAACAATGGGATGTCAATCGTCCAAACAAAATTCTTTCTTCTTTTTTTTTTCCGATGGACCAATGGTCCCAAATTCTAACAAAGGCAAGCGTTCCTTCTGAAGCTGAGAGTTCCAGAGGAGGAGTTGCTGAAGGTAACCGCCACACAGCAGCAAAGCGTGTGGAAATCAAAACAAATTGAAACAAAGGATTGGAACACAAAGGCGACAGTACCCACAGCACAAGAAAAAGAAAATTCGGAAAATACAAAAGACTCACTCTAGAGTCTAGATACATGATTTACTCTCTGCTGTGAGAACAATCTCAAGTAGATGGAAGGATTCGAACATGAGAAACGAGGAACAGGAGAGAGGGAGGATTAGAACATGAGAGAGTGAAGAAAGGGCAAGATGCATACTACAGAGGGAGAAGGGTACTGGAGAGCAAGGCAAAAGAAGTTCAAAGAACCCAAGTGCCCAGGAACTGCTAAGCCAACTTAGCTAGGTAATTTCTGAAAGAATCCTTTCGCATTTGTCCGACAAAATCTTGACTGCCTCTGTGAACAACACATTTGGTGGCAATGCACCTGTTGATTCTATGGAGACTGCACGTATGTGCACGCGCGCACACACACCACACGCACACACCACACACACACACACACACACACACACACACACACACACACACACACACACACCACACTCACACGCACACGGTCACACTCACACTCCACACGCACACACCACACTCACATGCACACACGGTCACACTCACACACACACACCACCACACTCACATGCACACGCACACACGGTCGCACTCACACACACACACACCACCACACACACACACACACCACCACACACACACACACCCACACACACACACCACCACCACACA